AAAAAAAAAAAAAAAAAAAAAAAAAAATTTAGACATTCATTGTATATTTTAATCACACCTTGTATATCAGTCTGTCCATCTACTATTTCTCAACCAGCTTTCTGTCCCGATATGGTTTAGATCTGGGGTATCCCTGCAAGGCCTCATGTGTTTGGAAGGAGACTGGATCATAGGGATGATGTTCATAGCTGCCTCACTGTAGAAGGTGAGGCCTGAGGCCTGGTTGGTGTTGGGTCACTGGGGGTGTGACTGGAAAGGTATATATCTCTATCCCCAGCTCCTCCCTCTCTCTCTCCCTCTCCCTCTCCCTCTCCCTCTCTTTCTCTCCTTCCTGGCTGCCATGGGAATAGCAGTGGTCCTCCACTCCTCCCGGGCCCTTCCACTGGTCCCATTTCTGCCCCAGAGCTGGGTGACCATGGAACAGAAATGTGAGCCCAAACAATCCTCTCTTCCTTTTAGCTGTGGTTGTCACGTATTTTGTCTCAGCTACAAGAAAGTGACTAAGATAATATCTACCTGTATTAGTCAGCTTTCCATCACTATAATGAAATGCAGAAGATAATTAATTTAAAAAGAGTAAAGGTTTATTTTATTTCAGAGTTTGGGGGGTTTTAGCCCATGATCAATTGGTCCCATTGTTTTGGGCAGTGAGGCAGCACATGATGGTAGGAGCCCAAGACAGAGAAAACCATTCACCTCAGCACCCATAGAGAAAAAAGAAAGAGCAAGGAGGGGGCTGCATTCCCCACCTCCTTTAAGGCCATGCTCCCAATGACCTACTCATCTTTCACTGTCCCACCTCTTAAAGGTTCCACCACCTCCCAATAATGAAACCCTGGGGACTGTGTGTGAACTCTTACTCAAACCATGGCCTAACCTACCCTATCTATCATCTATCTATGCCTATCTGTCTGTCTATCATCTATCTGTCATCCATCCATCCATACACCCATCCATGTGCTTATCCATCTAGCCAATCACCTCTTTAATCCATTAAAGGAAGAAGGTGAAGGAAACAAACCTCCATCTCACTCAGCCTCTTGTGGCCATTCCCAGTTCTCTGCGACCGTCCCCACCCTCCATAACGCTCACCTCACCATTCTTGCAATGCTAGGCTCAGCTTGTACCAGCCCCAGGGCTCAGGCTAACCCTCTGCCTGTAACATTCTTCCCCCTCCAGCACTGCCTACTGACCTCCCTACAAGTTCCTCTGTGGATCCCCACAATTCGGTAGACCCATCTCCTCCCTCCTTACACACCTTGCTCACTCTCCAGGTCTCCCCACCACGGTGCCATCCCCAAGAAAGCAGACCTGGGTTATCAGAGATGGGAAGATCTCACAGAGGAGCACTTGGGAGTGAGCTGGACCTGTCTGCTGCCTGCCCTCTGCCTGCTGTGATCGATGCATAGGGCCCAGCACACTTGGAGGAGTGAATTCCCCCCAGGTTTCCCAAGCACCGATTGTATGCCAGAGGGAAGCGAGACACAGGCTTCAGGGTGAGGTTGGTGGGAGAGCCAGGCCAGACCAAGGACCAAGGATCAAGTAGGAGAAGCCCAGGCATGGATTAGGTGTGTGCCCCTTTCCTAGCAACAGAAGGCCTCTCTGGTTCCAACAAAGCCCTTGGGCTGGGCTCAGACCACACTCCAGCTGAGCACACTGACTTCTGCTGATGTGGACAGTGACTCTAGCCAAGGTATCAAAGGTAACAGAACCCAGACATGGACCATCCTTGGATAGTGGTGGGATGGCCTTGGGTTGCCTGGAAGGAAGCATTCCAGAGAGGGATAGGGCCACAGGGTATGCTAGCGAGACACAGTCTAGATGCTATAGGGGCAGCCTGAGTGGGGGGAGCCACCCAGGGACACAGTTGTGGGGCCCAGGAAGTACATCTGGGGGAAGGGGCTGTGAGGAGACCTGCCCACCTGGGGACAGAGCTACAAGCCTTCACCCACCCCCAGGCTTGAGGCACCTTGTTAGTGTTCAGCCCTAACCACAGGGCTCCAGACCTGGAAGGGGCAGTGACACCCCATCCCCAGGGTCCCACACCTGAGAGGGGTCTGACCTGGTTTGCAGCCTGACCTCAGGGCGCCCCTCTCAGTATCCCCCACTGCCCAGTCCCATCTGGGTGAATTTCCTCTTAGCATAGGAGGAAGCAAGCCACGTGTAGGCCAACATCCAGCTTCTGGGGCCAGTCCACGCCAGGGGCCAAACCAGGGACAGGGTGCCGGCAGTGTACACTTGCGCCAGTCCCAGAACCGCCTGGCTCCTGGCTGCCTCCAGGCACACAGCCAAGGCCATTCCTATCAGAGGCACACTTCAGGCCCATGGCACACGGCTAGATCTTGCTTTTCGACTCGGCACATCTTGGAATACATTCCACGCATACATAGATTACTTTCAAAACTCTTTAAGGGACATTCACAAAAGCAGACAGGGCAGTGCCTAAACCCCTGGCTTTTGTGTTATCAGCACTTTTTCGGTCTCATTTCACCCACTTCCCCTATTTCATGTACCCTGGAGGCTGTTTTGGTTTGGTTTTTTGAGATGGAATCTTGCTATATTGCCCTGCCTGGCCTTTAACTTACAGGCTTAAGCAATCCTCCTGTCTCAGCCTCCCAAGTAGCTGGGACTACAGACGCACGTCTCTGAAGGAGTAAAGCTTTGACTGTTTCACCCAGGAGCACTTTTGCTAATCTATCACTGTGAGAACCTGACTGTCAGCTACACGTGACGAGAGGGGCTTGTGTAACCTCCTTAAGGCGTCAGGTGCTACAGCCACCCTGGGCTCGCTGCTCTCGGGAGAGGCCCTTACTGCCCACCCTGTGGCTTAGGAGAAGCAGAAGATGGCAGGAGGTACCCCAGCATTCCATCGGGGGGACCAGATGTGGGGGCCCTTCCCTCAGGAGGGTGTCCTGCGGCACACCAGTGTTGGACACCACCGTGGGGTGAGTGGCAAACAGACTCCACAGCGGTGAGGCTGGGCACCAGGATAACGCAGGCCAGCCTTAAGTGATTCATGCTGCAGTACACTCGGCACCTATCCAGACTGGACAGGGTGGCCACTGGAGATAAGGACAAGGACTTCCCAACTCCCAGGGGGAGTACAGCCAGCTTCTCAAGGCAACCGAAGTTAAGGAAGGCTTTGGGCAGCCGTGGCACAAACCATCTTCCAGCCCCATGACTCCAGGGACCCAGGCCAGTTGTCCCAGCAGCAGTTTTCCTGACAAGGCTGAGGGAAGTCTCAGGGCCCGACAGGGTACAAGAATTCAGACAAAGGCAGTGAGGCCCATGTGGGGTCCTGGGCAGGTCTTTATTTTTCCTTGTTCTGCTACAAAGGACACGGCAGGCCCCCTGAACCTGGGACTGATGCAGCGGCTCCAGGACAGCCAGCAAAGGCCGTTTCCAGCATTTCACACGTGAGCGCCTGCTGGTCGTGCAGAACCCCAGGGGCCAACCCACCCAGGTCCTCACCACGAGGCCAGTGGGGCCTGGCCCGCTGCCTTCCTCACGTGCACTAGACAGGCTAGTGGTGCAGGTCCTGGGACAGCGGAGAGCACATGTGGGAAAACATTCACGGGTTTGCGAGGGCATTCTTCAAACTATTCTTACATCTTTTCTGTGTGTTGGTGTAAAGAAATAAAAGCAGCTGGGTGTAGTATTAGATGCCTGTAATCCAGGTTACTCAGGAAGGGGATGCAGGAGGATAAGGAGTTCAAGGCCAGCTGAGCAGCTTAGCGAGACCCTGTCTCAAAATAAAAAATTGAAAAAAAGAGAAAAGTAGCAAGGCATTTGACCCTCTGACCCAGGTCCCTCTACCTCCAAACGGCTGAGACAGGGTGGGAGTCAGACAGGACCTCAACCCCAACATTCTGGGGAAGGCACCTGGATGGGCTGCATGCTCTGAGGCTTACAGGAAGGGGCCCCAGCAGGGTTCCACCCCAGGGTGGGGAGGACTGTTCCCAGAGCCCCATGAGCAGGAGCAGGAGCTTTCTTGATCATTCTTGATTAGGAAAGTGGGCCCTTAGACCCCTGAGGAGGGGCTGGAGCTCTGCCAGGTCACTGCCGGTAGAAGGTGTGAGCACAATCCCCGGCCTAAGTGGGCACAGCTGCCTCCTGATGGCCACGAAGCCCAGGCACTGAGGATGCAGCCCGTGGCCACCACTGGGTCCCATGGACGTGCTGGCTATCCATTGTCTTTGGGTTAGGAGACCAGAGGCAGCAGTTACCAGGGGGACCTGGCAGGCCCCACAGGAAGTGGGGATGCTGGTGTATCGGCAAAGGAAAGAGCAACTCCTCATCCTTCTGGAATGTCCTGAGACAGGACAGGCCTGCTTTGTGTCCCCAGATGGCAGGTGTCTGGAGCTGTCCAGTTTCATCATCCTGGCCTTGCATCCGACCCCCACATGACAGTCACAGTGGGAGCAGAGGCTTGTTCCAGGTGCTGGCCTGGCGCATTCAGAGTGCTACATATAGGGAGGTGGATGCCTCAAGGCGGCGGCAGTCCTGGGCTCTGGGCGGCCAGCTGTGGAGCAGGTGCCACTCGGAGTCTGGAAAGAAGAGATTTACGAGTGCTGACTGCTTGCCAACAGCTAGAGTGGGCTTTTACCCCATCCCGGTGACCAGCCCACAAGTGTCAGGGACACTCGCCCACTAGGACACTCAGACTTTGGAATGAGAGCCCTGTCTGACCTGGCTAAAGCATCACAACTCTCCTAGCCCTGTTTCTCCCTGAAATACAGTATTCCCTGACACTGTCAGGATTGAAAGGACTGACCCAGGGAAATGGGACCACAGCTACACAGCAGGCAGGACACGCAGCAGACCCTAGGGGCCCCTGAGGACACCCACGGGGATGTGGCCAGGAGGACACAACCTGTGTGTCCACAGGTCCTGGAGCCTTCTTCTTGGGCAACAGGTGACAAATGTTCAGGAAGCATCGAGGACTGGGCTCAGGTCACACGGCAGGTGCCATGTGTGAAGGGGCAGGCTGGCACGAGGGCCTCTGGGAGAATGACCTACCACAAACCAGGGCAGTAGGCAAGCAGCAAACCAAAGGCCATGTGGGGCCACCCCGATCCTGGCCCAGTAGGAGGGCAGCCTCAGGCTCCATGGCCAAGGCAGCGGGCCCAGTATGTCCCTGAAAGGGTATGCACAGCCCTACCCTTGGCCATGTGCACTGTGGACTGGGCGGCTCCAGCCTCCACCTGGCTCACCCTGGCCCCCACTCCTCCTCCTCCTCCTTCTCCCGGGCTGGGTGTCCTCAGGAAGATGCTCACCCTCCCTGAGCTCGAACTGGGACAGAGGCAGGGGCTGAGTACGAGGTGGGAAATGCTTCTACCCTAGGAGCCACAACCTGCACTCAAGGAATGAGGTGGCCCCAGTCGGCCCTGGACCTGTGCCAGAGCAAGGGATGCTGCAGGTCCCTCAAGGCCTGGCCAGGGACAGTGAGATGGGCATCATGGGGGCTCTAATGAGAAGATCCCAAATCCCACTGTCCTGGTCAGAATGGGCAGCAGGGGGCTACTCCGCAGGAGGCCACTTTCTCAGAGGAGGGCTCAGATGTAGGGTCACCTGGCAAGTGGGGCTTCAAGAGGAACAGCGCCCCATCCTCAGGAGAAGCAAGAAATCTGTTATTTTCTGAGAGCTTCTGGCTATTTCAATGGTGGCTACAGGGGCCGAGGTGTGGCTGAGCGGTAGAGCGGTTGCCTTGTACACATGAGGCTCTGGGCTCCATCTGCAGCCCTGCAAACCAAACCAAGCCTCAGAGGGTGGCTCCAAAACATCTCATCTAAACACGGTGACCACAGGACCTGAGTGGTAAGCAGGCGGAGACTGTGTGGTTGTCGTTGAGGGTACTCGGGCCTGGAAAGGTGCCAGGACAGTGAGCTAGGGGCCCGCCGAGCCCTCAGAGTCTCTGTGAGGCGGTCAGCCGCAGGCCCTCGCTCCTCCCCACTCACCTGGATGCCTACTGCTGCGGTGCCACGCCCAGGACGGGCTTCTGGACCCCGAAGGCAGTAATGAAGATGTTGACCACCACGATGATGAACACCAGCCCCGTGGCCACGTTGTTCAGGAAGTCCAGCTTGGCATGCTTGGCAGGGTTGTTAAGGTCGTACTTAACTGTGGGCGACAAGGAACTGGCATGGTGGCGGGGCCCTGCCCGGGACTGAACTGTCTGGGTATTACAGGGCCCTCAGCCACATTTACGGTGAGTTTCATCCCACCAGATAAAAACTGTCTGTTTTCCTGAAGCCCCGACAACAGGTCTTCTCGTGCAGCCCCCTTTCTGTGGCCCCTCACTTTCTCCACAAGGAATTGAAGCCCACGCAGGTCACACACCCAAGGTCACGCCGCTCCTGGATATCACGCTAGGCAGGTTTGGTCTATGGGTCCTCCCAACTACCAAGGCTCTGCTAGTCCACCCCAACTGAGGGCCCAGCAGGTTCACTCACGTGCCCCGGGTCACCCCGCCAGGAGGCAAAGCAGAGGTGACCTGCTGCCTATGCTGCTGCTGACCAGGACTTACCCTCTGGACAGCCATCCAGGTTGCCCTGGGGTCCCGGCAGCAAAAGGCAGCACCTGTGGAGCCCCTGGTAGACCCTTGGGGCCCAGCCAACCTTCCTGCCTGCCTGTGGCCTGTGGGTCTGTCTGTCCATCAGGCAGAGGAAGTTGGGTCTGATGTCAAGGAGGGGATGGTGTTTAGTGGCTCAGTTTGGGGAGAAAGGAATTCGAGCAGTTGTACTCTTCTGGGTTTAGCTGGATATCCTATTCATGGACGTGGCGGTCAGGGTTAAGAATCCACTCATCCCCGCCTAGTCCAGGGTCCCCTCCTCACTTCCTAACTTGGCTACTCTTTCTCACTGGACAGTGGTCACAAAGGCTGGGGCTGTGGGACCGGCTCATCCGGGCTAGCTGGTGGCAGGAAGCCTGGGGGTCTGGGAAGCAGGTTGTCCTGTCCGCCGTCCCACAGGCCCTGCCCTGAGGACCCAGAGGGCACATCCCCAGCTGTGTGCACAGACACCAACCCAGGAAGATGAGCAGCACCCCCACGCTGATCTGCAGCACCAGGGAGATGGAGATGAGCACCACCAGGGGCATGAAGAAGGCAAAGGCAGGGCCCTGCTCCACCACAGCCTTCAGCTGCGATGCATTGGCCATGAGCAGCGCGATGTCCAGCATGCTCTCGGCGGCGCTCTTCTTGTTGGCGTAATGGTTCACATTGATGGGCTGGTTCCTCCGGCCCCAGCGGGATGGCACCTGTGGGGAGGGGGACACTCAGCAGGGCAGGGAGAGGGTGGGGACTTGAGGAGGGATACAAGGAGGCAGTGGTACATGGAGGGGGGTGGAGGGGTGGGACTACAGCTTCAATGAGGCTGGAGGGAGTTGGCTAAGGACTCGGGAGGTGCTGGCTTCTACCTCCCTGTAACTCTAAGAAGAGAATGTGCTCAGCCTTTACAACATGTTCCCTAGAAACAGGAAAGAGAAAGGGAACAGCAAACAGCCATCTCAGCACATGCACTCTGGTTTTCAGCTGGAAAATGTCAGCCGGCTCTTGCCCAACTGTCCTGGCGGAGGGGGTGGCGCTCCTCCATGCCCACCTGGCCACCTGCCAGCCCGTGCTCTTGGGGTCTGGGCTGCTGCCTGGCTGTCGTGACATATACGTGGTCAGAGCCAGGCACACTGGCCTAGGCTTTAAATGGGTCCTTTCTGGGCTGGGCCCCAACACAATTCGTGTTTTGGCCACCTCCAAATCACAGACCCTTCTGCCCTCCCCACCCTGCCTCAGCCTCAGCGTCACTCTGCAGAAGTCTGGCCACTTTCCCCGGCCACAAGCTGCTCAATAATGAGTCCCCCGGCTCACAGCAGGCACTCAATAGATGCCTCGGCATCCCGAACAGTTAGGCCTGATATGCAGATACATGCTGGAGAGGACACTGCCCGGTGACACTGTGGTCCCCCCAGAAAACCTGGGATGATATTTCCAATGTCAACTCCCATCTCCCTAACCCAGTGAGTCTGAAGGGGCTCTGTAGTTCCCTCTACTCCCAATGTCTTTCATTTCCAGATACCCTCACGCTCTGGGTTTGTTCCGGTTTAGTTTAGTTTTTTGAGACGGGGCTCCTTACGTAGTTCCAAATAATCTTAAATTCATTAGGTAGCATAGGTTGGCCTGGAACTCACAGCAATCCTCCCGCCTCATCCTCCAGAGTGCTGGGATTACAGTCCCGTGCCACTGCACCCAGCAAATACCCTCATGCTAAGGGCCCCACCTGAGGTCCCCCATGAGACCTTCCCTGGTAGGATATGGCCCTCTCCTGCCACAGAAAGTCTCTTTTCAGGCTGGTGAGTTTCACTCTGAGGCAGTCCTGGGTGTCCAGTTTCTTTCTGCTGAGCCAGCTGGCCCAGTTCAAGCTACCCTGGTCACACCCCTTCCCAGACACTGAGAGAAATCCCACTGGCCCTAGGTCCGGGTCTCATGTCCACTAGTGATCCGGAGTCACCCAGCCCTGTACTGCATCCTCCAGGGATTGGGCAGTGGGTTGAAATGGTGACCTGGACCCACTGCTGGTGGCGGCCTCCTGAGCCCCAGGAGATCCTGTTCCAGACTCATGAAAGATGCAGAAGCCGGTGCCTCGGGGCCAAAGGAGGGTAGACATCAGCAGACACATAGCCACTTCTGCAAGCTGGAAAACTATGAGCAGCTGATATAGGGAACAAAGAGCAGGTGGGGACTTTGCTTTGATGCCATTCAGTTTAAATTTCATCTAAAACAATGTGCCCAGAAGAAAGGCAGGATGGTGTTGGGAGCCACAGAAAGGTTCTGCTGCCTGTACCTGGTCCAGAACATTCCAACCACCTGCCTTTGGCATCAGCTGCTCTCTGCCAACAAGTTCACCTGGGTCAAAATTCTACATAGGTGGGGTGGTGCACCCCTATAATGCTCAGCTTTAGGAGGCTGAGGCAGGAGGATTGCCTCAAGTTTGAGGCCAGCCTTGGCTACATAGTGAGATAATGTCTCAAAAAAATAAAATTCTGGACTCCAGAGTTCATATGAAAGCTGCCCCCACCTGGGAGGGGGTCAGCCTCACAGTGCCAGCCTCCCAGCCCCAATGATGCTCTGGGGTTGCCGCCAAGTGTACCATGAGGCCCCCAAGGTGGCCTCACTCCTTAGACTCTCTTGGGGAGTGGACAATCCCTCCCTGCTGCCAACCGTCCAGATGCAGACAGCCCAAGCCTGCCAATGTCCAGCACTGAGGTCATCCCCAGCTCTGCCCTCAAAAAGAGTCCAGCTGGCCATGCCCATCACATATGTGCTCTGCCAGGAGCCGAGCATCCAGGGATCATAGGGCACAGGTCCAAAGTGCCATATGGGCTTCCCTACGGCTGTCTCAGGGCTCCTCTGGACTGGGATCGGCCCTTAGGAGACAAAAGCCAGATGCAGACCTGTGAGGAGTTCCCACCTTTTGGAGGAAGGATTCTCTCTATGTAGAAAGACATATATAGCACATGCAGCTAGACAGACACCCACAACACACATATGTGTGTGCATAATGCACAAACATGGCAAGCACGCATGTCCACTTCATATAATATATATATACCACACACATATAAAGGCACACACATAAACATACAGATCTACATGCACAAAAGATGCAAATACACACACGCCTATACAGACACATACATGTATTCTATGCACACATACAAAACCTATGCATGGGGCTGGGGATTTAGCTCAGCGGTTCCGCTGCCTGCCTCACAAGTGCAAGGGCCTGAGTTTGATCCCTGGTACCAAAACAAACAAACAAATAAAAACCCATAAACCCTATACACGCATACAACATGCACTGAGTACACGCATATGTGTACACACATTTACTCACCTCAGCTCATGCACACACAGGTATGCATGCGTAGCACACTAGGCATATATAGTCACACGTGTGGCACACAAATACACACACCTATGCACATACATAGAGGCACAAACAAAAATATACAAGTTATGCACACACGTACATAAACATACACAGACATCTAGGCAGAGATGGTTTCTGAGTAGGAGGAAGATTTTGTTTTTGTATTCTGTAGTTGAACCCAGGGAGCTCTGAGTTGTAGCCCCAGTCCCTTCGTATTGCCCGGGCGGCCTCAAGCTTGCAATCCTTCCGCCTCAGCCTCCCATGTAGCTGGGATTCCTAGCTCAGCTGGGAGAATTCTTTTTCACTCTAAGCACTTCTGAACCATGTGTTTTATGGTCACATGGTCACAACAATGTCCAGACACACAAATGAGCACCACCAGCAGCAGAGCCCCACACCTGGGCTCCTACGCATGGCTCTCCAAATGTGCAGTCACAGGAGCCTGTGGCCCTGCTGTCCCCCCACCCACTGAAGTGTTTAAACTAAGGTTTGGTGCAAGAGGTTACTTATCCACAGCCACAGAGCAAGTAAGGACTGTGGGGAATTAAAGTGCAGAGCCTGGGGCTCAGAGTCCCCTGAAACCACTGCGCCCTCCATCCTTACCAAGGAGGGCTGGGTGCCCTGGGGGTGAGCTCTTGGGGACTCCCTACCCCAAACTCGGGACAGTTCAGCCACTCTAGCCTCAGTGGCTCCACGTGCCACAGAACTGTGGAGCAAATACCCCTGAACAGCCTGGAGTCCTGGGGCCGGCAGAGGACCTGGCCCAGAGACACTCCTGGTACCGGGCATTTCCAGCCCACATGTTTACTCTTGCAGTGATAAGGATGCAGGCCAGGCTATAGGGCCAGTGGTCCAGGAAGCCTCTCTACACATTACTCTCCCTCTCTATAGACCAAAACACTGAAGATTGGGGTGTTTGCCCAGGGCACCTCTAAGGCAGGGCAAAATTCAGATCTAGGCCCAGTGCCCAAGCCTCGTGCTGCACTAGGACATGCATCACTGGCATCCATCCTGGGAAGGGGCTACTGAGGCTGGGTGGACTGAAGGGACTTCATGTGACTGGGAAGGGGACTATGTACCAGGCCTCCTCGGGGGTACCCAGGCAGGCAGCAGGATGGGCCCAAACGGCTATCAGCAGCATGCTAGGAAACCCCCCAGGCTTCGGCCTGTGCCAATGACATGAGCAGTGCAAGGAGCAAACACCCTGGTTAATGTGTCACCAGGGCCAACAGGAGTTCCCCAAACCCTTGGCAAGACTGGGAGCTGGGGTCAAGCTAGATAGATTGCTTTAATCTGAGCACTAGGAGATGCTTGTGGAGGGGGTCACCAGTGCAGGGTACTGACTTCTGCCACAGCTGGGCAGCACATGTGGGGCCTGGCCACGTGGTCCTGGGGCCACCTGAGGAGATAGGTCCCCTGCCCACAGCTGAGGGGGACAGGGAGCTAGGACAGAAGAGTATCTGAACCAGGTCTGCTGCACTCACAGCTGGGTTTGGCCATAGGGTAATGGGTGCTGTGGGTGCCCAGGGCTTGGATAGGGGTGTTCCGGTCATCAGCTAGACCCATGAATGTGGTGATACATACCAGGAGAGACTGCCACAGGCCTGCATGGGGAGAAGGGTGGAGCCTACCACCATACCCTCTCCATCATCCCAACCCAGCACCTAATGGGGCTTACCTCCACCTTCCCCAAACAGCTCCACCAGTTCATAATGAACTACACACAAACCAAAACAGCAACTAGAAAAAGTGAGGATGGCCTGGGGCTGGGTGGGCTCAAGCCGGCCATCATTCCAGTTGCTGTCCTGAGTGATCTGGCCCAGCCTGCTCAGAGGCCTATTTCTGGGGCCCAGCTAGGCACCAGGAAATGGGGGTGAGGGACCTGAGAATCTACCCCCCACATACCATGCCTGGGGTCCATCTGAGCTGGGACAGGAGCTGTCAGCCTACCTCCCAGACCAGGCTTGGCACAAAGCCCTGCCTCAGGCCAGGGCTACCCGTGGAGTTGAGCCCTCCGAGGCCTGTGCCTGCTTTGTCCATGCCCACCCATCCCAGAAGCAGACCTGAGGGTCTCCAGCCTCCATATCTGTATTCCTGGCAGGAAACCTCAACAGGAAGTGCTGGAGGCGGGTCTCCATAGCAGCTGGGCCATGAGCTGGGCTGGGCATGCCCACTTCCTGTGGGCTCAGGGCTGACCAGGAATGACCCCAAGGCCCATCTGGGTTACCTTTAGAACTCGGCTATGACCCTGCCTCTTTCAGGAACTGCCACACAAGCAGAAATGAAGGAAGCAGGTTTCCTTTGGCAGCTGAGTTTATGTCTGGCCCCAACAGTCAGTTGGTGGGCATGTAACCCAATTCTGTCGCCTGGAGGCTAGAGATATGACCCCAGAAACCCCACTCTGGGGGCTGTGAGGGGTAGGAGGGCTCCGGTAACACTGCGGGGCTGTGCCTCAGCTCCGTTTTTTTTGGCCACCTGCCTCCTGCTGTGTCTAACAGAAAACTGTCTCCAGGTCATGCCCAGGGCATGCCACAGCTGTGGGCCATTTCCATATTAAAACTGATGTTTACGATTCCTCTAAGGCCAGCTCAGTGTGAGGTGACTCGAGGAAGAGACTGGGCGACATAGGGTATGTGGAAGGGCAGGGGCCAGGCTTTCTCACCCCTTGGGCACCTCTGACAAGAAGGAACAGCTTCGACCTTTCTGAGCCTCAGCCACCTGGGAGGTGAGCGATGGGGGCCCGTTTCACAGAAGAGGAAACCCGGAGAAGGTGCTGCCCCTCAGACCACCACTCACTCAGTGTCACCGGGAGCAGGCCTCCATGGCAAGTGGGAAGACAGGAAGACACCAGTGCTGCCGTGTGCTGGGCCCCACTCCAAGCACTTCCTACACACTCATCAGCCATGTAATCCTCACCGAGACTCTCACAGGGGGGAGCACTATCATCAACCCCATTTCAAAGGTGAGACACTGAGGCGCAGAGCACTGACACGATATGGCCAAGAAACAGTAAGGGCTGAGGGCAGGAAGGCAGACGAGGCAGTGAGCAGGCTGGCTGAGCAGAGCAGCTTCAAGGCTGACCACCCCTTGGGGAAGCCTCCTACCTGGGACCCAAGACCCCCACGACCCGGGATGAGACCTCTCCTGTGCAGCCCGGCCTCCCATCCCATCACCTCCTACCCAGCCCTGCATGTTCAGGGGCTCCAGCCTTTGCTCCTGCCCTTCCACACACATCAGAGGGCCTGACCTGTCCACTCTGCCCTTCCCATCTGAGGTCGGTGCTAATGCCCCATCCACTCTTCTGTCCTCGCTTCTCCTGCCTCTCTAGGCTGCTCTCTGCTGTCGAGATAGAGGAGGAAGAGGCTCCATCTTCCTCTCTCTTGTCCCCAGAAACAACAGTGACCCTGAGTATCCTACCCAATCCCACCTGGGCCCAAGATGTGCCCAGGACCCCCAGGAAGCACAGGCCACCCTGCTGCGGACCAAGCTGGTGCTGGGAGGAGGGCACAGCCTGGACAAGGCTAGGGGCAGGGATGAGCCATCCTACCCTTCAAACCAGCTCCTAAGCCCCCTGCCCATCTGCTGCATGAGCTGCTTCCCATATGTCCCTGAAGGCAGAGAGAGATCATCTGTTTTCCCCTCTGAAGACCCCGTACAGAAGACCCGGCGGGGGGGGGGGAAGTGGAACTCCCCACGTTTCCTCATCTCTCGTCCAGGGTCAAACGTCTGTGAAGTCCCAAGACCATCCCAGCCCTGGCTCCTGGCTCCTCCCTACCTGGCCTGTCCCTATCCTATTAGCCTGGAACTGGTCACCCACACCCAGGCAAAACGTCCATGCCCCAATGTATTTCACACCACAGGGACGCCTGGAAAATCCCGGCCGCCCCAGTTCTCCATCTCCATCCCTAATGGGGTTGGAAAACGAAAGAATGTCCAAAGTCAACATTTCACCAGGGGCCTATGCCAGGACCAACTGTGCTGGTAAGAACCGGACCCTGAGCTGAAGCTGCCAGTGTCACAGGTCCCCAGGCTGCACGCGTCCCTGGCAGGAGCAGGGAAAATAAGTGGGAGAGAGGAGTCAGCAAGAGGTGCACCTCCAAAGTGTGTGTGTGGTGGGGAGGCAGGCTCTGGACAGGCCCTCTTCACCCCGGGGCCTGTGGCTGGACATCCTGGGGGCTGTGCGCCCTGACTTCTCTGTTTCTGGAAGTCAGGTGAACGGTACCACAACACGCGCCGGGTTTCCCCAACACGACAGCTTCACCAGTGTGGTCACCTCGCGGTGACGTAACTGTCTGCCCGCTACTGGCCTGGATCCCAGAGGCTGTGACTCCACTCCCCGCACCAGGAGATGGCCAGAGGGACTGGAAGTTAGGAAGGCGGCATGGGAGGCTCGGAGAGGGGGCAGCGGCTGCGCTCCGACTAGCAGCTGCGCGTGTGCGCGGCCAGGCGTGGGCACTACCGGAACCAGCACGCCCGCCCGCTCACCTACC